CCTGTCGGCGCCGACAGGTTGGTCATAGTCAATAAAGCGTCTTTTCATTTGAAGAAGAATGAAAAAGATTCATACAACAAACATTGTATCAGTACAACATGCATCAAAATGGGCACTATTACTTCAGATGCCTTTAAACTACCTAAATAATGTGCAACCAGCTCCATGTGATTGGTTGAAATTTGACATTATTCTAATCCAGAAAGAAATGATAACTTATTGCTACCGATGCTTTGAATGGATTTTCTTAAGCAAACAACATCAAAACTTAGAGAAATGCTTGCATACAGCCTCAAAATGCAATATACAGATGGTCGATGGATACATGATAAAAAAAATTAAACAAGCTAATAAAAAGAATACAATGTTGTGTAAAATAAATGTACCCTTTCCTAACAGGGTTGTGAATGTCATATCTTTAACGCAATACACCTGCATTATTTATATCGAAAGCAGCATGTATATTTAAAAGATGTTACAATAAATTGCACTGACTTCACTAGTTAGTTCTGTTGTAAAAAAAAAACACATACTTTTTGCCCATCTAAGATGTGAAATGTAACTCAAATTAAAGAATTGCTAAGAAGTTCCCATGTCGAGTTTGTCTGGGACAGAAGTAATGAAAGACTTTGCTGTTATATCTTAGTAATTTTTGACCAGTTTAATTGATTAAAATTGAATGTTATTTAAAAAAGAAAAAAGCAAACTTGCAGGTCAACACCGTTTATTTTTTAAACTTAATCCCTTGCCATTTTGTAACTAAATTGTTATCAAGAATTAACTCTTTACACTTAAACCACAGATACAACAGGGACAATAGCTTGGTTTCAAAATGATTGTACTAAAATTATATAATGCTGCTACATAAAGTCCAGCAGTAAACAAAACAGAAGTCAGTTTTACATATATGTAAATATATTTCATTAATGGTGAAAAAAAACAAAAACTATTTGATGTTTTCTCAATGTTTGAATTTTTGTATCAGATTTTTATTTGTAAAAAGTTTGACCTTCAAGTCTTTTGCGCCCACTAACGGTTTATCTTCCAGGATTAGTTTACATGTAGCTCTATTCATCTTTCCATGAACTCTTACCAGCTTCTCTGTCACTGTAGAAGAAAAGCAACCCCCGCCCCCACCCCCACCCCCACAGCACCATGCTGCCACCACCATTTCTTTCAGTGTTGCTACTGGATTGCGTTTTCAAGAGTGTGTGTAGTGTTGGGGAAAAAATATGAAGACATGTCTGATTTTGCCTCAACAATAGTGTGTTACTTTGTGTTTATATGTCCCATGAATTCTCATAAAAAAAGTCATAAAGCAAGATGACAAAATATTAAATAATTCAATCAAGAGGTATACATACAGCACAGCAGTTTAGCTCATATGCATAAATCGGGATCATTAAAATTATGCGTTTGTAAATTTAATTAGGCTAAAAAAGACCTCTGCTGTCAAACAGACTGTAATTTCTTTTTATAGCACAATGTCTAGTCTACGGTAGAACTTGGCTGACACCTTGTGGATAGTTTTTGTCATAGTTTTCATCCTTGCATCGCTTTTAACCTCAAATCAGGAGGGGAGAAAAACTACTGATTTGGAGCAACATTGTAATGCAGTCTGATGGTAATACTCCCTTTTTAGATTTTAATGTCCTGTCATTGAGACGCATTTATCAGGAAATGGCTACTCTTCTTCTGCTGTTCTTCCCCACCTAACCCAAAAAAGACAAAACAACAAAAACACCGACAAGTTCAACTGATCCATTTGTTTTGCTAGTTCAGCCTCCCACCCGTCGCTCAGAACCCCCCCCCCCACCACCACATCCCACCCACATTACGTCATGTGGACCGCGCGCTCCACTTGTCCGCGAGAGAGCTGATCAGCAGCGCCATCACCTCTCGTGCACCTGCAGCCAAGAAGACGTGCGCGCGCAGCCTCCTGCCTTCATATGGTCCGGGTCTGCTTCGGCGACTGTAAATAAACCGGGCAGGGAGAGAGAGAGAGAAAAAAAGGTTCACACACAACTAACTGCGAAAGGCTGAGGAGGAGGCGGGACTTCCGCCCCGGGAGCAGAGCAGAACTAAACCGGTCCGGCTGTTTATCTCTTTGTGCAGCCGGAGAGGACCGAGGAAAGGTTGGGTTCTGATAAGGTAAGCGCGCTTGTTTGTTTGTTTTTTTTTTTTTTTAATCATTATTATAATTTACAAATGTGTTTACTTTCTCTCCGATCTATCGCCTTTCGATGCTATGTTAATGCACACTGGGTTTTGCTGACATTTACCTGGCTATTGTTTTCAATAACCAGCAGAGCTTCATAGAGGTTAGCTCTGCTGCAGAAATGTATCAAAACTTTACAGTCTATAAATCCCGCGTCGTTAACTGTCTGTGCAGGGTAATTAAATCGGATATATTTCCAAATGACACCATTTCTGCTGATGCGTTTATATGCCAACCTGCTGCTGCTGTAAGGTCAATCTGGGCATATGAATTTACATCAACAACTATGTTTTTAGCAACAATTACACACCGGTTACACACAAGTTTGATATAAATAATTTTTAAAACATGTCAATTCCTAAAGTAAAATGCTTTTCTTTTCATTTCGAAGTAGTGGAATATAATAGATGAGGACACACTGCTCAGAATATAACATATTAAGTACTTTCAGGTGCATCAATTCAATGCCTTGCAAAAGCATTCATAACTCTTTAACATCCTTGCATTTTTGTCACAGTGCAACCACAAATTCTAATATTTTTGTTGGACAGGGAGCATCTGTGAATGGTTAGTTTCACGGGTTGCCTCAGTTCTCATTTGGATTTTGGTCTGGAATTTGAGTCGTTTTAAGACATTAATATCCTTTGACTGCTTGCTTTGTGACTTTGGCTGAATGCTTAGGGTCATTGTCCTGGTGGAAGGACTCAACTTGCAGTTTTCCATTAGAAACGGTTCGATTTTGGTCTCAGTTGAGCAAAGTACGTGCAAAAAGTCCCCGGGCTGGGATTCGAACCCAGGAACTTCTCGCTGCTAAGCAACAGTTCTAGGTAAAATCAAAATAACATACATTGAGTTTTGTAGTTTCAATGCTACAGAGTTTGTGCTCTGTTTATAAAGAACAGGCCTATGAAAAAGTGGTTATTATGCATTTCTATAGGGAGGGAAGTGAATTTCATTACATACATACTCAGTTAAGAGCTATTTTTAGTATCCCACTGTTTCTTGAAGCACATCTTGGGATATCTATGTGGGCTGGAGGGAGATTGTTAATGAGCTTTGCAGTCAGCCTTTTTTTTATGTGGGGATTAAAATACAGAAATCTTCTACAGTTGGCTCCTTCTGAAATATAAACCACCAGCGCATATTAGAAAGGTTGGCATATAATCGAACGCTGTTGGTGCATCACTTCTTCTTTTAGCAGCACTCAGAGAGCAGCTGCTGCTCTCATTGTTTCAACTGAGCCCAACCAGATCACATGTTTAAAATATAGCATATTTTTGCTGACCGCTATGTTGAGCAGACATGAATCTATCCAGCTATTATTATCATGATCTCAATAATTAACAATATCAGAGTTGCATCTTTTTCCTAAAAGTCTACATCCCTCATTTGTATATACGCAGTATCAGCCAACATTACAGGAATGCACCAGTTTCATCATAGAACTACACTGTAGTTGAGCAGAATGCATTTACTGCTTCGGTGATAAAATGCCCTCCATTTTCAAAGAGTGTGTATATTTCAGATTCAAAGACATAAAATGGATAGAGGTGTTTGTGGTGTTTTAAGACGGCTAAAAATATCTCAATGCTCTCCGACTGACTCGTCCTTTGTGGATATTATGAGAAAAATGCCTTTCAAAAGAGAGTTAGGAGTGGGCACTAAATTAATTTTATTTATTAATTGATTTTTTTTTTTAGATTTGATTTTTGGAAAATTAGGATTGTTTTCATCAATGCACTCCTTGGGCTTCCATAGTTTGTAGTGATGTCAGCACGTTTCACAAGAATGTTTTACAGCTTTTACTTATTTGGGCATTGATTTTAGGTCAATATGCTACGACAAAATATAAGGGTCAGGCTAAGACTTTTTTTTTTTCCTTTTTAATTACAAAAAGTCATAATATTACAAGACTACAGGCGTAATATTAGGAAAATGTAGCAATTTTATGAGAAGTCAAACATTGTCATTTTAATAATCACATCATAAAAAAACAGTCTGTTTTTACCCATCGTTTTTTAAAACCAATAAAATGGCATACTGTACAGATCTGGACATAGCTGACTGGTTGGGTGGATTTTCACTTTTATTGTAATTTTTAGGAAATTACAATAACCAGGAAACTGAATACAGTTTCCTGGCCAATCATAGATTACCAATCTTTGAAAAGTCTGACCTACTGATTCGGATTTTGTCCGATACTGATTTTATCTGAAATGTCACAGAGTTGGTAACAGTGGGTTGACTATTGTTAATTGCAAACATCCAGACAACCTGATGGCCCGGTCCGTCTGTCAAACCTCTTACAGCAGAGTAAAAGAGGACAGTGGTTGACTGAATATCAGTTTCACATGTAAACATCGGCCAATAACTGATTTCCCAAAATTAAGAAAAACTGAGCTCATTTATTTATTGGTGCACCTCTAGTCATTTTACATGTTGTATGCATAATTCTTCCAGATAAATGTTTGCTTGAGCAGGTTCAGTGTTTGTGTTTTGCAGGTTGGGTCATTACAAGCCACACTATGCTGAGCTACTTGACGTCAGGAGGCTGCAGACTTCCTTTCTACCTCTTCGCCATGGTTCTCCCCTTGGTTTCTCCTCACACCCTTAAACGCAATCAACATCAGGAGCACAGCCACAAGGAACGACCCAAGCTACTCCTCGTGTCCTTCGATGGCTTCCGCTGGGATTACATCTACCGCGTCCCGACTCCCAACTTCCGCAGCATCATGGACGAGGGCGTGAAGGTCGAGTTTGTGGAGAACATTTACATCACCAAAACCTACCCGAACCACTACAGCATGGTGACGGGGTTGTACGCCGAGACACACGGCGTCGTGGCCAACGAAATGTACGACCCGGCTCTGAACCTGTCCTTCTCCATGGAGACAGACAGTGTTTACGACTCAAGGTGGTGGGAGCAGGCCGTGCCTCTCTGGGTGACGGTTCAGAAGGACGGAGGGCGGAGCGGAGCGGCCATGTGGCCAGGATCTGACGTGCTGATTCACGGCGTGTTCCCCACTCGTTACCTCCAGTACAACGCCTCAGTTTCCTTTGAAGCCAGGGTGCGGCGGATTATCGAGTGGTTCTCCGCGCCTGAGGGGGAAGCCGTGGATTTTGGAATTCTGTACTGGGAGGAGCCGGACGAAAGTGGCCACAACCTGGGACCTCAGAGCCCGCTCATGGACGCGATCATCGCCGGGATCGATGAGAAGCTTGGGTTCCTCCTGGATGAGTTGAAGAAGGCCGGGCTGTATGAGAAAGTGAACCTCGTTGTGACCAGTGACCACGGGATGGCCCAGCTTTCCCCCGAGAAGATCATAGAACTAGACCAGTATGTGGACAGAGATTTGTACACCTGGGTGGATAAGAGTCCAGTGGTGGGAATCCTGCCCAAAAAAGGTAACGATACATTAAATGGTGCATGAAATAATCGTCTGGTGACTGGAGTTGGGCGTTTTTCTTAGCCTTCTTCCTGGTTAGAAAGTTCAAAATCTGTTCTTTTTCTAATCAGTGAAAGTGCCATCGCAAATAGCTACCTGGTCCCACGACCAATGTGTCACACATCTTAATAGTAAAAACTCCGCCTGTTGCAATAGCAACTTCAGATATACCTGCTGGATGGGTGTATCACGATACAAGCGTTTCATATCAGTTGATATCAATAATTATTGTTTTTTTTTTCTTTTAAATATCAGTGAAATTATTGAATGTTCTATCAGATACATTGATCACGTGTCTTATCACGATATATATTGTTATTGATTTATTGACCAACCCTACCCCAAGCTTTTTTAAATATTGTAATAACTGTTTTGTGATGGATGTGTGTGTCTTTTTCACTTGATGAATTAATTTATTATTTTTAAATGATATGGACTACTTTTTGTCTGGAAATAAAGATGTCTACATCTCTTGAACCATTGCAATTTTCAGTGGTTAGGGCCTCAAAGTTAGTCATTCTCAGCATCAGTGAGGTGTTTAAAGAGGAAGAAATCAGGGATTAAAGAAGCTTTGGAAACAGAAAATGCATAATGCAAGGCGTGTAGAGACATGTTTCAGGTCAATTTAAATTGTGAGAGAGCAATACTTGCAGCAGATAACAGGAAAGTTGAATAACAATACAACTACATAGCTTAATTTTATCCTTTTGACCTTCCAGTGTGTTAAACAGCTGTTAGTAATGCTAACTCTTCTAATTGCTAAATTGCTAATATAAGATTTAGAAGCCTGTGTGCTACTTATCTCCCCGTCTCACACCAGCGTTTTATATTTTCTCACAATATAAAACGCTCATGTCTTCATTAATGCTGGATTGTGCAGTTAGTAACACTGTTGCCTTGCAACACAAAGTTGCTGTGTTTGAATCCCGACCTTGGAGTGTTTCTTTATGTTCTTCCCATTCATGGTTGGGGTTTCTTTATGCATTTCCACAGTCGAAAAGCATGACTGGATGGATGTCTGCTCACAGTAGAAAGACTACAAGAATATATTGAATATAAATCTTGTATCTTTTCTTGTTTTAAAGAGTAATCAGAATTGGCTAACTTAAATAGTGGCAGGTCAATGTTTTTTTTACAAAACCAAACAAAACTAAAGTTTGGAAATTGGACAAAAGCTGATTGCTACATTTGTTTTCTAGGAAAAGGCTAACAGAATGACTCAGACCGTGAGACAATAAAACCAATTAGTTTTTTATCAGCAGGAGTGCAGAGATGCTTATAGTTCCTGACCCATTTCTTTAGTGTCTATATCATATAAAATACGAGTTATGAGCATTAATGAAAAAGTCATAAACATATCTGCATATTTAATATTTTTTCACCGTATTGTAACAAATGCTTATGTGTCATTGCGTCGGAAATAAAACTTGACCCTTTGCCTGTGGTCTGCCTCGTAGGGAAGCTCGACGAGGTGTACGCGATGCTGGCGGACGCCAACCCCAACATGGTGGCGTACAGGAAGGACAACATTCCCGAACACTTCCATTATCAGCACAACGTCCGGATCATGCCCATCCTCCTGGAGGCCAAGGAGGGCTGGACCATCATGCAGAACAGGACCGGACTCTTCATGTGTACGTTCGAAAATGCTGCCAGGTTATTCTGGTTATTCTGCACATTTTTTTTCTTTCTTTTTTTCTTTTCTTTTTTTTTTTTTAAATCTAGCTTTAAACAGCAGCTGTTTGCCTGCTCTAATTATAGCTTCACAGGTGATGTATTTCTGTCCCTGATCCAGAAGCTAGCACAAGTTATACCGAATGTAATTAACGAAGAGGGGCCAGATTCATGTTCTCATGGGACCGGAGAAAAGAACAGGGCGGTGGGGGTTGGAGTTCTGTGAGTTTTATCGCTGTGCCTTCCAGCGCTTTTCCTAATTCAATAAAAAGAAAAGAAAAAAAGAAAAAAGCTCCTTCTGTTCAGATTAGAAATGTCAGAACATATGTCTCAGACGCAGTACCACACTAGCTAATTACACTGCCTGCCTCTGCCACAGCTGAAAGCCTGTTAATCAGTGAAATGTCCATGTGGAAACTGCACCTTACAGGAGAACATGCTGACTCTTTCTTTGGAGGACAAAACAACAGCCGTGCCATCTAACAGTGCTCTCAGTGTATTGTGCATTATGTATTAATGGACAGAGTATTGGCATTAAAATTAAAGTCATGGCTAAGGAATTACTGTACCTTTGTAGGCGTCGTTCTCATCATCAGCGACCACCATTACCGACTTAAAGTCTGCTTTAATGATTTGGTTGAGCTGTGTTAAAGGAATAGCTCAGAATTATTGAAGTAAGATTTTAGTAAAAGATCATAAAAAGTAAATATGCTATATAATTTAGTATAAATTAAGATTAGTATAAATTAAGATTAGTTTGTTCCAGAGACTAAAGGTTCACAAACCAAACTAAAACTAAAGAAGTGGATTATTCTGCAATCAGTCATCTGATCTCCACCAGAACAGAGAATAACAACATGTTTCCAAATTGGTACCATAAACAGGGGTTGTTATTTTTTATTTTTTTATGCAACAGGTTCCAGATGTCAGTCTCTGGTTTGTTTAAAGCCACACGAAAAATAATAATGTGTTATTTTTGGACATTTTCACTTGTCCACTTATGTTAAGCTTATAAAAAATAAATGCTTCACCTAATTTGGAACATAGATAACTTTTACACATTAATAGTTCTGCCTAACTTTAATGGTTCTTTTAGATTTGTTACCGATAGCTTTGGAATCTATTATTACCTGATGGGTCTTAACACAGGAAAAAACTGGAAATATGTAGATGAACAGAAGTAACTGTTACAACTTTCACACCGACTTGTCTTTTTCTTCCTCAGTTGGAAACCACGGCTACAACAACACCTTACGCGATATGCAGCCAGTGTTTGTGGCCAGGGGTCCGGCCTTTCGCCAGAACTATATCAAGGCCTCCATGCGATCTGTTGACCTTTACCCTCTCATGTGCCACATCCTGGCCATCCAGCCTCTGCCAAACAACGGCTCGCTCCTAAACGTCCAGGACCTGCTGTCCTCGGAGCCGACTACTTCAGCGCCCGCTTCGGCCCACTACACCTCTCCCCCTAAAGTCAGCAGGTACTCGTACGCCCCGGTTGTGGGTTCGTTCATCGGCGTGGTGATGGTCCTCGGATTCCTAGTGGTCTACGTCATATTGGTGACGCTAAAACAGCGGCCTGCGCTCAAACACAGAAGTTGGGAGATGTCGCAGCCCTTACTGCAAGAGGACTTACACCTGTAGCTGAGGAAGTTTGAAAGGATTGGAGATGGAAAAGAAGAGGGGCGGTCGCTCCCCAAGGTACCCCCCTCGGCCCAGAAGCGTTCTCTAAATGTTTCCCTAACGCCAACAGATGTGGTTGTGCAAGCGAAACGTTTATAGGGTTTGCTTCTGGTGCAGGTTTAATAAAAAATAAAATAAAATAAATAATGTAACCATGCTTTGATGTGAATTTAACTTGAGATCATGTAACAATTTCAGTGTCACTTTCTGCATAGAGATTTAGGACTAAGAGTGGATTTTTAATCTGTGGTTCTGAGAAGCTGGAACTTTTGGTGGCAAAAACTATGACTTGGGATAATGCAGAGGCATCAGTATGCTCAGATTGATAATCTACCAAAGGTGTTTTATAGTTGATAGTGAAAGTCAGTTCATGTTTGCTTGGACATCTATCCTTGTAGAAAAAAAAAGTTATTTTTCTGTGACAAAAATAAGGATTTAAATTATTCAAAAACATACATTTGACTAAATCAAAGAAAAATTTGCAAAAGTAGAAATACCTGCTTTTGCATTGGCATGGTCGTTGCTCACACTTATTGGTATACTTGGTAAAAATGTGTGAAATTTTTTTTCTAAGTAATTTTGTATTACAGTAGCAATTTTCTCTCAGAATACCTTCAAAAAATCTGAAATTTCTAAAAAAAATAAAAAATTAGTTGGACAAAATTTCAATGACAAAAAACATTCCATTCACTGAAGTTAGATGAGTGCTGATCTTTGTAAATCATTAAATGACACAGATTTGCTCATTTTTTGTCCTACCAGGAGATTTCTAAACTCTACTGTGATCTCTACTGGAGCTGTGTGCTTTGGTTAGATTTGACTTTTAATATTAAAATCTTAACTCTTGACTGCTCATTAGGTCAAATTACATTCAAATTTTAAGTTGTGCTTTAGTGAGACTGCGCTATCTTAATGCTTTTACGCACATTTACCAGGAGTACCATTGACGGTGGAGAGTCTTGTGAAGGCTAGTAGTATATATAAGGAGATTAAATGGTAACACTTTATTTGAAGGGGGTTGAATAAGACTGACATGACACTGTCATAAACACCTGTCATGAACATGAATAAGCCTTCATGAATATTTATGACTGCTGTCATAAAGTGTCATTTGGTAAAGTATGACACTTTTAATACAAAGTTGACATTATTCAAAATGTCTTTGTTATGACAACTTGACATTAACCAAGAAATCATTACTGTTTAAACTTTACCTTTAGTAACATAAAGTTACCTAATTTTTAAAGTGCAATCAGTAATACTTTTAGAACAAATTGATATCAGTAGTGATTTCTTGGTTAATGTCAAGTTGTCATAACAAAGACATTTTGAATAATGTCAACTTTGTATTAAAAGTGTCATAATTTACCGAAAGATGCTTTATGACAACAGTCATAAATATTCATGAAGGCTTATTCATGTTCATGACAGGTGTTATGTCATGTTTATGACAGTGTTATGTCAGTCTTATTCAACCCCCTTCAAATAAAGTGTTACCGATTAAATATTATCCAACATGAACAATACTAATCTATGATCCAAATTATACTTGTATGCATAAGTAGATACATTGGCAACTATGGAAAACCTTTGGTTGTTAGGATCTAAACAAATTACGCTATTTTTTAAATTTTTTTTATCTTTTGACTTCTTTCTTAGCTCCTATTCTATTTTAAATTATTTGGGGTCTGCATGAGAGTCCACTGTTTGGAACCAGCTTTTATGATCCTATGTCCAACAAGAGATGCTGAGAGCAACAGGTGTGGAAATCAGATAACTGGGTATGCCTTCAGACAATCTTTGCCTTTTAAACGTTCATAGTTTTTACACGGAAAAAGTCCACCAGTGAAGTGTGTGGAGAATTTTTGCCGTCTCTCGTCTGCTTTCCTACTAGCAGAAAGAGGTGGAAACGTGTCGGAGATTAAAAATAGCTGTTCAACATGCTACTTTTGAGCTATTCTTAGGCGGTAAGCAAGTTTTGATTTGACATTTTCAAATCTATGCAAATCAGATTTGTATGTCATGAAGTAAAGGAGGACCAAAGTCTACTTAAGAGTTTTCCACCACTTGTTCTGCTTGTGGTTTGAGCACCGGAGAAGATGTTACTTTATACTGGAAATGCTGTGATTCTGCTCAAGTATTAAAAAAAAAAATTGCTGTAGCTTCAGGAGACTGGTCATGGTCACTGTTCATTTTGAATGCTACCTGGAAAATTCACTCAGTGTGTCGAGCTACTTCATGTGTAGGGCATTCACGTCACACTACCTTGCTCTTTCATAGTCAGCTACCATTTGCCTTTAAACTAAACAGAGTACACCTCTCTCGAGCATTCATTCTGTCTTCTGGTCTGTTACGCCCTCTTCACACCAGGTTAAGGCGGCCCTAGTCTCCTGGATTTCTATTGCAGTTGGAAGTTTACAACAAATTTACCTTAGGAAATGTGGAAAACCTCATTTTAGAGTGAAATGTCTCTACTATGCTATATGATGGAGTACATCCACTTTCTCTACTGCATTTTTGACCATCCTATCAAAATGCTACCACTAATGACAAAAGTTTTGCAGCCCAAATAATTTTGCAACCTTCCTGCAAACTGCCCATGTGCACAATTTGGGGGTGTGCGCGCCTTATCTGACACCATCGGATCTGCTCATGAAGGCATTCAGAGCAGAAGGTCTTTTGTGGCCCAGTCACAGTCCGGTGTGAAGGGGGCTTTAATTGTTGACTGTCTCGGGAGGGCATTCTTTCTCTTTCATAGATGACTGTGTATTTCGCTACTTACTGTTGTAATTCAGTGTTGTAACCATGGCCATATTGTCGGTGAAATGTGAAGTGCAATTGCAAACTGTCTGTACTGTGTCTTAGGAATTCTAGGGTTTATTGTCAATTTGGTTGAGAATAATTTTTCGGAACGACTCGCAAGACACGATCCCCTGATTTGCACTACAGGATCGAAACAAGGTATTGGATGCTTCTTAGGACGTGTAGCCTCTAATTTGCACTTCTAGTTCATAGTAGCCATTTCAATTAACAAAAAGGAAAAACTGACTCTTGTTTGAAAGCTTTTTAATTTGTATAGTTACAGAAAAGATTAGAAGACTTGAATCCAAATCAGTTGTGTGTATATTTTTGCTGCACCTTTATAGATATATATAAACTAAAAGATTGGTTTAATTTTCTCTGTTTGCTTTTCGAATGGCTTAACCGTGCCCAAAAACAACAGACATCACTGTGATATAAATATAGATATACTTTTTACAAAATTTAAATTAATAAATTAAAAGCATTTATATGGGAACTACCTACTTTCTCATCCTTTTAATGTTTTAATAAACAAAAGTATTGTCTAATAACTTTCCCAGACCCACTGATATGGAAGTGAAGTATTACTGTATTTCGAAATTATTCAAGATCAGCAGTATTATATTTCAAAAATGATTCATTTGTACTTGCTGAAAACAAAGGAGTTTATTATTATCGCCTTGGATTTGGATACAGTGAATATTTAATATGAGTGACAGATTCTATCTTTGCCATGTTGATGCAGTTAAGAGTCTTCTGAAAATAAAGTGGCTCATAAAAACCTGAACCTTTGTCTTTTTGCTTTTTGGTGGTCTTCAGGTTTATCTGTGTCCACATTGTTTATGGGAATATGACACTGGTTCCAATCCCCTTCAAGATATTTTAACTAGATAACTACTTTTCAGTGTCTTTAGGTAAAATTCCCAGTTTTTCATTCAACTAAGTCTTTATTTCCAAATATTTGAGATACATTTGACTGAATTTTCATGTTTTCAGACAGCCTAACAAACTGCTATTTTGTGTTTCCATGTACCTATGTTGCGCAAACTGATGATTTCTTTCTGGACCAGTAAAATTTTCTTACAACTTCCAATGTGATCCTCAAAGGGATGCGCTTTCAGGTGACAACTTTTCACGGTAGATTACAGCAGAACCCGGGATTTGTAAATCCTGTAGTGTATTTTAGGTCTATCCAGATACGTGGCATTATTAAGAAAGGTTTTTATAAGCTCTTCCAAATAAAAACATGAATTGTATGACAAGCTTATTTTGCAGGGAGTTATTTCTTGATCGACACTGCCACATTTCACATTGATGCTAGATTAACTTCAGTGGAAAGATGATGGTGTTTAATCCCAAGTCCAGTTAATGGTCAGTTTTAGTTGGATAAGAGATTTTATGGTTGTTCTTGAACATCCTAACCCCATTTCTTTTGGTAACAATTTCATCAGCGGTAACATTTCAGATAAAAACTCAAAAATTTTGAGATTAATATCAGAAATTTTCTAGAAAAAAAAAGGGAATTTCTGAGTTTGAAGCATTGCTGATTTTCACCAAATAACCTGGAAATTTAGAGAATAATCTAGAACTTTTTGATTAAAAAAAAAATAATATATATATATATATATATATATATATATATATATATAAACATGAACATTTCTGTGTTTGAAAAGTCAAAATTTTTGACTTGGAAATTTTCCAAGTTTCAAAAGTTGAACGTTTTAAACTTTTTAAACTCAGACATTTTAATGTATGTTCTAAAAAAAGATTGCGATTAATCTAAAAATTTCTGTACTACAAAATTTCTGTCGTAGTACAGACATTTTCTAGAAATTGATTGATCAAAAGATTTCTGAGTGCTTTGGTGGAAATGTAGTCTTAAATTCTTTTTATCAACAATGGCCCGACATAGTACAGATATATTTTGTAACAGTTATGCAGAAATACTTGCTGCACCTGAATGTCCTTGAGGGCACAGCCCCCAGTGATTGCATTATTCACTCGCCGGATCAAAGGTCCTTTATGGCTTAGTAGCTGGAGTTTGCCCAGACACCAGTCAGTGAGAGGCAGGCGGACTGCGAACACTGCACAACTTTCCCTCCACGCCTAAACACCAAAATCCAAGCGTCATGGATCACGTCTACGATCACGTCTACGATCAAGTTGAGCACCGTGGCGGAGCCGACAGCCCCGACCAACAACCCAGGTATGAGAACCTAGGTGAGGGAATGAACCATCTGTACAGCGAGGTGCAGGTCCACGCCCCGGAGGGGGGCGAGCGCAGCTCCCCGGAATACATGGAGATCAAGGACGGTGATAAACGCAGCAACTCGTCGTCGTCGTCCTCCTCCTCGTCCTCTTCCTCGAGCGACGACGAGGAAGACGGGGGAGACCTGACGGATGAGCAACATGTTGTGGCGACGATGGACCTGCCGCCCGAGCCAGAAGTGGAACGGGTGAATGGAGAGGAGCATGACAGCTCCCGGCGCTCATCAACCTCCTCTCACGCCTCCTCTTCCTCATCCTCCTCCTTGTCCTCCTCCCACCACGGGGACCCCTGCGATGACCCTCCAATCGACAGCAACATTCAGGATGAGGATAATGCCCTGGACGGGTTGCTGATGTCTTACACCCATCCCAACACCATCCCAGAGACGAAGGAGTCTGTGGACTACAGCCTTAAAACTCTGGAGAATGTCAGTCTGGATGGCAGCAGTGCGGCCTCGGCTGACCCCAATGAGCCCAAGGTCTCCCTC